CACGCTGTGCAGCTTTCTGCCGTCGCCATTTAGCCTGTAATTCCGCAGCAGAAGGTTCAGCAGCCTGTTGCTGCTCCTCCACCGGCGTATCGACAGCAGCAACCGCTTGCTGGCCCTCTGCGGACCCCCTTGAATTAGCTGGCGCGGCTGTCTGCTGTGATGCAGCATGCTGCCGCTGCTGAGGTGCTTGGTCAGTGCACAAATCACTAAACGGATGTTGGTCCAGCGGCTGTTGGTCCAGCGGATGTTGGTCCAGCGGCTGTTGGTCCAGCGGAAGTTGCTCGGCCGGCTCCTGCCCAGCCGCCGCTGCCTCTAAATCACCAGTCTCCGGAGCATCACCACCCATCTCCAATGCCCCTTCCGCTACATCATCCACCAGCCTGCCTGCTCCACTAGCACTGCCGCCGTCCTCATCCACAGCACCAGCCCGCTCAGCCCGGCTAACACGATACCGAGCAGGCAGGACTGGCTCAGGTGGCGGTGGCGCATCTCCCTGAGATGTACGCGCCATCCGTCGCCACACTAGAGTACGTCCCCAGCGCTGCACAGCGTCCGTACACATGATGTCTGCACGTAAAATGTCAACGTTGGGAATATCCATCCAGTGCAGCACCGTCGACTGGTCCTCCGAGCACACTTCAGAGCACACAGCACAGACACGGGAGGGCATGCGCCGGCGCAAGGCAGCAGCCATGGTCGATGCACACTGCAGCTGTACTGTGTACGGTACCTGCCTGTCAGGCGGTAACTGACCGCCAGGAAGATCCTGCACGCGGCCCTCTGGAATCGCCAAAATAAATTCTGGCAAGTCAATGACGTCGCCACGATGGAGGTCCGTGAATCGCAGGAGACGGTGCATGCGAGCCAATATTGTATCCCTAGGGCCGGCCTGCTGGTTCTGCTGCTGCACCTGCCGTGCAGCCGCATGCTGGGCCGTGTTGCGCTGCTGCTCCTGCGCCCTCACCTCGGGATTAGCACGGGCAACGGCACGCTGCACAGTGTTCTGCAGCTGCTCCTGCGCCCTCACCTCCGGATCAGCACGGGCAGCGGCATGCTGTGCAGTGTCATGCAGCCGTTGCTGTGCCCTCACCTCCGGGTCAGTACGAGCAGCCGCGTGATGTGCAGTGTTATACAGCCGCAGCTGCGCCCCCACCTCCGGGTCGGCACGTGCAGCTGCGTGCCGTGCAGCATCCTGCTGGCGCTGCAACACCCGCAACTCAGGAGGGGCTGCGGCACGCTGTGCAGCTTTCTGCCGTCGCCATTTAGCCCGTAATTCCGCAGCAGAAGGTTCAGCAGCCTGTTGCTGCTCCTCCACCGGCGTATCGACAGCAGCAACCGCTTGCTGGCCCTCTGCGGACCCCCTTGAATTAGCTGGCGCGGCTGTCTGCTGTGATGCAGCATGCTGCCGCTGCTGAGGTGCTTGGTCAGTGCACAAATCACTAAACGGACGTGTTCTCCCACAACGGAACCCGTCTGCAAGCGAACCGAGCCGAAGCCGCTTCGAAGGAGGCCGATCTGCCATAAAGACCTAATGATCTAACGAGGCGAACACGAGGCGAACACGTGCGAGGTGGACACGTATACTAATTGAGCCGTTAAGAATATCAGCTCGTCAACGGCGGAGAAGGCGAAAGAAGCGAAAAGAAGGAGCAAAAAACT